AGGAGACAGCGTGGCAGGAGGGTTGCAGGGAGCATCCCTCACCCAGGAAACGGAATGCCCCGAGGGTGACCTCATAACGCGAGGTTCCTTCCGTGGACTCCTCTGCCTGCCTCTCGGGATCCAGGCGCTCCGGAAACCCCGAAGCAGAGATCCTTCTGTGCGATGATAAAAGCGGGGAACCAAACTTGAGGGTTTGGGAAATGGCTCACGCCGCTCCTCCGCAGGGCTGCCTGACGAGCCTTTCCGCTTTTATTCATGACGTTGTGGCGCTTGTGTGTGGTGGGCGACTCAGGAAATTCAGGTAGGTGCCCGCCGTCTCCGTCCTTGAAAATCGGATGTATTGGGGAGCGTCGAACCAAACATTTTGGGTCTTGGGCTCTCCAGACCAGCTGGGGGTCTCGGTGGGCTAGAGCGGAAACCCTGCAGGTGGGTGAATGTCTCACCTGGGGAGGAAGGGGCGCGGCGGCTGAGGTCTGAGTGAGGCCTTGTCTCTGCAGTTTCCACCTGGGTCCTCGGAGCTCTCCGTGTGCCTGGGCATCACTGCCAGCACTCTGGGGTCTCACCCCGCGCCCCTCTCCCTAAGGTAGCAAAACCACGCACCTGATGAATCGGATGGTAACCACGGTTACAGACGGTAAGCTTCACATTTTTTGAAGGACGAAATTCAATCTGTAAACGCGGGTAAGTCAAGCATTCCGTCACCACTTTGTCAGTTGAGTTGTAGATGGAATGACTAGTTCCAGTCAAATCCGAACGCTTTGGTAGCTATTACTAGTAGATACCACCTCAAATCAGATAAAAATGAAAATGATGTCAGTTGTTTTAAAGTTGTATAGAAGTGTCTGTATTCTGTATTTCTTGCTGCCAGGGGAATGTATCGTACATATACTCTGGGAAACACTGGAAGGCACAGATAAATATAATAATACACAGGAAAAAGAATCTTACCAGGTGACGTTTTGGCATATTTCTGGTGAAGTGTTCGGTGTTTTTTTCCTTCCACGTTTTTGCACAGTTGAGATAATTTTGAGTATAGCATTTCTGTATCTTGTTTCAAAATTTTTTGTGTTCTGTTTACGGGCAAATTAAGCATTTTTAATGAAATGCTTAATATGAAATTCATATTAGATTATGAAAAATGTATAGACATCTTTTAGCGTTGGTATACTACTCCATGATATGGATAGGCTATAATTTACCTATCCAGATTTTTACCTATTAGATTTTTAAGTGATTTTTACCTATTAGAATTTTAAATGATTTTCAGATTTTCTCTATCTGAATAATGCTGGGAAAACATCTTTGAAAAAGTAAACCTAAAAAAAAAACCCAACCCTATTGGGTTTGGAATGAAAGTTTACACAGAAAATTGGTTGTTCACCCACAGTTCATACACATTTTGATCCCAACCACCACTGCCAGCCCCACAATGTGACCACGCCCCTCCCTCACCTTCCCTGTGTCCACTGGTCCTCCTTTCCTGTCCCTTCCTGCCTTCCCAACTTTCTTGTTGCTGTTAAGTGCCATCGAGTGCTCTCCAACTCACAGTGACCCTATGCACAACCGAAGGGAACCCTGCCCGGTCC